AGTTTCTTTGTGTCAGGGGAGGAGTGTGCACTCCACAGGTTTTGAAAGACTATGTGTATAGCATCCTGGATATGGGGCATTATTTTGGCAGTTACAGATAAAATTTTATCTAGCCTTTCTCCAAAATAGTAGGTCTTAGGTCACAGATCATTATTTTAAAAGCAGTATTTTAGTAGAAAATATTCCTCTACATACACATACAGAGAGAGAGTTTGGGATAGACTGTACTCCCTAAAACTCTAAAACTTGAGGAAAATAGGCTCTTTATCAAGATGGAATGTGATATAATCACTTTTTCCTTTACTTATGTTGAACCTCACCCTGAGGGTCCCTCTTGTCAAATCAACACACTTCTAACAGTAATTCTGACCCAAAATAAATAGAATTCCTAAGGTGAAACAGCAATTGAGAATTTTCCAAATAATAATAAATTTTAAAGTAAGTAGGTTAATTTTTTTCTAACTCCATAATCTACAAGTTACAAAACATGCTGAAGTCCCTGTAGGTCACCAAACCTGTTCTCAGGTCCTACTAGGTGAATTACGTAAAGCCATTTATGTATTTGAAGAAATATTGAAAAGGTCACCCTTTGAGTACTCTACAAGTCAGTTTTCAATCAAAAGTTTTTTAAATATTCCTCTTCCAGCTATTCATATTTCCAGTATGAAATAACTACACAAGCAGAGGACTATGGACTGAATGTTTGTGTCCTCCAAAGTTCTGATGTTGAAGCCCTAATCCCCAGTATGATGGCACAGTAAATCATCAGACTGTTTTGACATACAGTTTTGACAAAGCACAGTTTAAAAAAATTTTTAAGGTGGGCATCAGTGGCTCACACCTGTAATCCCAGCTACTTGGGAGGCTAAAATCAGGAGGATTCAGTTTCAAAACTATACTGGGTTCAAAAGAGCCCATCTCCAAAATAACCAGAGCAAAATGGACTGGAGTTATGGCTCAAGGGGTAGAGCATCTGCTTTGCATGTGCAAAGCTCTGAGTTCAAACCCCAGTGCCATCAAAAATAAACAAGGAAATAAAAATTTTAAATCTAAAGAAATTTCAAAGACAAAATTTAAAAAATTTTAAATTCCTGCACTTGCATTATATCACTTAGTTAATGCAGTGCAGATCTGAATCCCATGTGACCTTAGTTGTGTTTAAATTATTGTGTGATCTGCCCTTAATTCTGTGAAAATCTGCCTCCCCAAAAGCAAAGTAAAAGTGAATGTGCTTAACTGAAGTTATAAAGTGAAAATTTTAGATTGGTTGGAAGGTGGCACGTCTTTAGCGGAAGTCAGGTGTCATTATGGAAAACTGAATCAAGCATCTGCAGTAGAGCCTTGAACTCTGACATCCTTAGCACTCACGGTTTACCCACAATGGCATTCTCCTCGGATTCATAATCCCACAGATACCAAAGGAGTTGAGACTTTGGAGAAGTGATTAGATCATGCTCTTATAAGAAGATAAAGGACAGGGTGGATACCAGTAGGAGGGGAGAGGGTGAGTATGGTCAACGTGCTTTGTATACATGTATGAAAATAGAACGATGAAACCTTTTGAAATTGTTCTAAGAAGGGGGGAAAGAGGGATTGCTGGAGAATGAGGGAAGGGGTGAATCTAATTAGAATCCATTGTAAGCACATATGTAAATGTCACAATGAAACCTCCCCCGTACAACTAATCTATGTAAAAAACTAATATATGTATAAAAAATACAGAAAAGACTCTTTTTCTCTCTGTCTCTGTCCCTGTTTCTGTCTGTATCTCTCCCCTCCCCCAACTGGAACTGAATCAGCCAGCACCTTGATCTTGGACTTCCAGTCTCTAAGACTGTGAGAAATAAATTTCTGTTGTTTAAGCCTGTGATATTTTCTTATGGCAATTCAAGTTGATTAAGACATAGGCTAATTCCAAGAATGAATAAAATCAAGTATCAGTGCCAAGCCAAAGAGTGACTATACCAAAAGTAGTTTAATTCCTTTTAAGATTTTCACTTTCACATAATCCATAAGGAAGTAGTCTGGGAAAGTCTCATGCCAAAGGAAATGATGCCATGTGTTTATTAACAAGGGCAGGAACAAAATGTGAATCAGTCGTCTGTGAAAACCTATCACATATACAGTAGGTGCTAACATACAATTAGGTCTGAATCTATACTCAGCTCATGCCTAGGGTGGCAGACAGACAGCACGAGGTTTTTCTTTACTGGTAACATCCAAACGTTAAACAAAGAGATTTACTTATGAGCATCTTGAGGGCTAAAAGTTACGTCTCACCCAAAGGCTAACCAAATGAAACTTAAGGATGATGGTTTTGGGACCAGAGCAGGCAAGGGCTTTGCTTCTTTTTTTTTTTTTTTTTTTGGGGGGGGGGGGGATGAATAAAAACAAACACTCCCCAAAGTAAACATTTTAAAAGTTCAGGTTTGGTGGAGAAGAACTGCAGAGAGAAGTAGACAGAGAAGATGGACAAATGTGTGGACTGAAACATGACAGAACATGTTCTGAAAGGGGTGGCATCGCCCCCTAGAGGCAGTTTTGAAAACAGAGCACATCAGATCCTACCTGCATTTACCAGGTGAGATCACAAATGCTGCAGAGGCCCTACAGGTTAAATCCCTCAAAATAACTAGCCCCATCAGCTCAACTTTCAATTGCCCCTAGACATGTAATTGGAAATGTAGTTTTTAATTATCCGAGTCTATAGTCTCATTTTATATCTAAACACACAGAAAATTTTTAATTGTTTCAATAGGCTTTGGATTTCTCAGAGATACAATAGGAGTATTCTTGAAGTTGAAGGAAGCCTGTAGAGCAGTGATGATGAGCCAAGAAGCCAGAGCCAGCCTGCCTCAATTTCCATCCCAGTTCTGCCACTACTCACTACATACCTCTGGATAACTCTCTCGGGTGTAAAATGGGAATAGCAGCAGTTCTCAACGAACAAAGATGCCAAGTGTATAGAACAGTGCCAGACACACGGTGAGCACTGCAGGAGTGAAGCGACCACAGACATCTGTTTTGAATAGAACTTTATCAGGAACTGACCAGTTTAGAAAATCACATTGCTGACATACTTTCTGGTATTGAATAGCCAAGATGGCAGGCCTGCATTTGTCTGCATTTCTAGATACCATGTTCATGGTGGGATTTTATATATATTTCATTTTAACTTGTAATATAACCATGCTAGAGCATTTACCTATTAAAATAATTACTTCACCATAAAATATTTTTATTTGTTCAACTTTCGGTGAGGACAGTATATTGGTGTGCATGTTTAGAGGTCAGTGAAATTACCTTTTGTGATGCTTTTATATGCGTGTGTATTTCATCACCCTTGAGTTTCATTTTATGGTTGTAAAGTGATGTCCATAAAATTTATAATAAAAGAGGCTGTGCTGAGTTAGGTCTGGAAGGGCTAGAAGACCATAATTTTAAATTATCGTGCATTGTCATGTGTCAAGCCATGTTCACAAGTAAACCTGGATTACTGTTGACACAAGCAGTTTTCATTCTTTGTAAGAAATTTATACTATTGCTTATATATTTCAAAAGTAGAGGTTTACAAAATATTTTAGCAGCAATATATTTTCAAACACATTACAGGAGAGAAGCATAGATAAAAATATAAATAAAAACCAATCTCTGAAGGTAGAGGAAGACCTGGCCTGTCACCTAGGTCTTCAGGGATCCTGATGTACCGATGTGGTTCAGTAGTTTAAGTTGGACACTGCAGAAAGTTAAGTCTGAGTTCTGAAGCTTCATTTTCAGGATGCTCATTCAATTCAGAAATGGTACTTTCTCCAAAGGAATGGGACCACCCTGTCAGCTATGACCTCCAAAGCTTTTTAACCCATTAAACAGTAGAACTACAAACTAAGAGCCCTTCCCTACATCCAAAGAGTGAGAGGGAACATAGCCACCCACTTCTGGGCAGAAAGCCATTTGGGACTAACAGTAAACCGGCAGGGTCCTTACACAGTGTCTTCCTCACCACCAGGGCCAGTTAGTAGGCCCTGCCTGTCTATAAGATGTGAGGCATCCCATGGATCGCACACACCAAGCCTCTCCACTTCTAGCTGCAGAGCGCACTGCAAAACTCTATTTTCCTACAGTTCCCTCAGAGCCTGACAGGAAAACAGCTGGAGTGAACACAATCATACCAACATGAGTGGCTGTTAGTTCCCTTAACCCCACCAGAGGCTCTGAAAATTAAAAAGAGAACTGTTTTACTAACTCCAGTGAACCTCTCACAGGTTGAATTTCAGGCATATAAACAATTCCAGTGGTGTGAGACGGTATTTGGAACAGGGGATTCCAGCTCTGTCTTGGAATAGCCCTTGGAAAATTCCCCTACAGTAATTTTACTTTACACAAGCTTCTTTAGCTCTTCCACTACTAATTCAGAAAACCCCAGACTGTTTGGGCTTATTTTTCTTCTTATTATGAGTGCCTATACTGTCAACAACCACGGTGGTCACTTGTAAATCCAAAAACACCTTGAATACTTTTTTCATGAGCTTCAATGTATGACGCAAAGCAGAAATATTTCAATTACATGTGACTAAGAGTAAGAAAAATATACAACTATATTTAAAACACTTAAATTAACAAGATAGTACTTTTCCATTCTAACAAAATATCATATATTCAGTTTAAACAAGAGTTAATATCCAGACACACTTTTTCAAAATACCTGATGCTAGTTGAAAATTAGTGACCATGAGGCTTTCCAAAATATTTCTAATTAGCAAAATGTGTACAGCTGGAAAGAACTGTAGGTTCTTTTGCAGAAGATAGGCATGGAACAAGTCAAAATGCAAACAGATGTATCTCTCATAAACCTAAATCTTGTCACTTCTCTTTTCTGAATGATACTTTGGCTTTCAGCAAATCTCATAGGTTTCTTCCCCTTACAGATTAGTATGTAACAACAGCAACACCTCTCACAAATAACTTTGTGTGTAAGAGGCCCTATCAAAATGTGTGCATGTGTTTCTGTAATAACTGACGTCAATTGAGATCGTTATGAAAGAGGGTATTCACCAGTGTAACAGATCTAAATGGAGCCTCTACTCTGCAGAGCATCAGATCCTTGCACAGGTCATTTCAGAGTCAAAACTACTGCACTTACAGATATGGAATACAGCTTTAAAAATCAAAACAAAATGTTTTCTCCACTGGCTTTTTCAGACAAAAAAGTTGGACCACCAACCAACACATCTGTGTGACAAAAGCCACCAATTTTAGTCCCCCCACCCAAGAAAACAACATCAAACAATGCCACCGGCTCCTGACGATGACCATAACATGTCTGGACATCATGCCAATTTACAGAGTATTTCTCCATGTTCCAAGGCTGGGGACCCAACAAAAGCAGACTCAACTATGTCCCTCCTTCTGCCTCCACAGCAGCGCCTAAGGTCCTCTGGCTCTGTTGCCATCCAATTACTTCAAAATTCCCAGAAGGAATACAACTTTCAAAAAAAGTGAATTAGGTAAGGTCACTATGGAACACTGTAGATGAAGTGTAAAGAGGCTGGCCACTGAGGAAGAAGGCACTTGGGAGCAGAAGACAGGCAGGAGGCCCAGGGGTGACCTCAGTGAGTCAATAGCTTGAGGCGAGTGAGCCAGCTGACCAGCAGGGAGGGCTCTGTGGAGGACGACTTTGCAGCCGAGGGGGCTGCTTTCTTCTTGGTCCCTTCCTCCTGGAATGGAATGGTGGCACTGCTGTGGAGATCTGAGTTGATGTAGCACCTGCTCCCTCGAATATAGTCTGCACCTCGCACCAGTTGCCGCTCTGTCGTGGGTCTGGAGAGCCGGTACCCGGGAGAGGCGCTTTCTTCGATGATGGGGGGAATCCGCTCATTACTGAAATACCGGCAAAGGGCGTCTTCCCCTGTTTTCAGATAAAGTCCGTTAAAACAGCAATCCACAGTGGCACAGTGCTGCCTGCAGGGCCCTTGACCCACCCCACTTCTGACGCCACTCTGAAAGTGGGCACCATACCCGACTGACTCCCTTCCCTGGATTGGCACCCAGGCCTCACTAATGACTATGTTTACCCCATGGGTGTCTGAAAGCAGAAATGGAAGGGGTTCCTCGTGCCTCAGGCTGCTTTAGCACCCTGAGAGGAAACACAAGGGCCCAGCAGAACCAGAGAACCAGCACTTCTCACCACCATGTAAGAGTTTTCATAATTCACCTAAAATCGAAAGCCAAAGCAGTAGCAAGGCAGTAGGATTCTGTCTCTGCTCCAAACCTACAGTATACAGCACGTTGCTCTTCTCTTAAAGCACCCCAAAGGAGCATTTAGGCAGGTGGCTGTCCTCAGCTGTCACCAAAAATGAAGGATATGTACCGTGCACCACCAATGGATGGGGATCAAAGATTTAAATGCCCTGAGATGCTTGGGACATTCCTGAGAGAAGTCTCTTCTTGGTTCGAGTACCAGTAGACCTCCCAAGATGGGCTCAGACTTTAAAATGTGGGACCTGCTGGCAACCTGTAGTACTCTTCAGAAACTCCACTCTGCAGAAAGTGCAAACATCTATGTGCAAGCACACTTACTGAATCATTATTCATAATTGAGGGAAAAAAGAGCCTAAATGTCCAATGACAGCAAACTGAATACACAGGTGCTTCAGTCATGAGATGGTTTGCAAATGCAGCTGTATTCAGAAGTTGCGTATTCCAGGTCAGACTCATTGTACAGTGTTATTGAACAACAGGTTCTTCCATCCTCCATGTTTTCAAGTGTATAATACATAAATAAAAGACCAAATACAGAAATGTTTATAGGGATTGTTTCTAGGTTGGGGGAATAGAGCCCAACTGCGTTTCATTTTCTTACACCTTCCAGATGTTCTTCAGTGTACTTGCTCTTGTGTTCAAAGGGGAAAGGTCAGTTTAAAAAGTGCCCATTGTTAAAAAGCCACATATGACCTCATCTGATTACGTGAGATAAATTCATATGCCCAAAATAGAGCCATGCCTGTCAGGAGCGGGAAGGCTGAGTTGAGAGGGACTGCTAACAGGACAAGGGTTCTTTCTGTATGGAAATGTTCTAGAATTAGGGTGTGGTTGTCAATAGACTAAAACTGCCAGGTTATAAACTTTAAAAGAGTGAACTTTATGCTATATGAGTTCTATACCAATAACACTGCTATTTTTTTAAAGTGGCCACACACAGATAGGTAGATTTAATTCCAAAACAATCATGCAAGAAATCAGAAGGAGGAGTACAGGGGACAAGTGTCTTCCATTGGCTACTTTCCCTCTCCCCAAGTCCTATACTCCAGCTCTCAAAATATGAAAGAAATAAGAAACTCATTCAAGTTCATCAGACTGGCAATGAAGATGTAAACATTTACTTCTAAATCTAAACAAAGGACAGTCCTGCCACCTGCTGACTGCTCCACAGATTTCCACATGTAAACTAAGGACATCCTGAGCCACAGGCTGGCATCCCATCCCTGAGTGACTTTAGCATACATAATCCAGGTGATCTGGGTATGTAGGTGGCGAACCTAGGTCTTTGTAGATGTCAGGGGTGCTCGTTCTGGATGATCGGGTCTCCAGGATTTGTTTCTTCTTCCTTTACTACGAAAACCTATCATACTTTTAACTTTTCACCTTCTCTTTGTTTCAACACTACAAAAGCAATGTTACAACGTCTTGCTAACACAGTCAAATACAATCTGGCACAACATGGAAGCATTTTTAAACATTTCCCACAAGACTAGTGTAATATAGTGAGTAACTGACTACAGAGTAAGTTAAATACAGATTTTTTGCAAATACTAATTACTCTCTAATCGAAGAAGGATTTGGGAATAAAAACAATACCCATGTCTGTTCATCAGAAATCAAGTGGACTCCAATAATAGTCATAACATTTAGGATGAGATTATTTAATGAATAATTTATTTCTGTTTGTTAAAAAGTAGACCATTAATGTCTACAGTCTTTTTAAAGCCCACAATGCTAATTAGGAGATTTGCAGTTACTAACTAGGATTATGTGATTTGCCATTCTAGAAATAAACTTGGATCTGAGAGACCTTCACTAGGCCTGACTTAACAGGTGACAAAACCCAATTCTCTCTCTGGTTTTACAGCACATTTAGGACTAGATCTGCAACATGGGCTTGGGCAGAACATACCTTTCCTGCCATGACCTCGAGGTCTGGCAAAAGGGTCCACAATCCCCATCCAGTTCCCATCTGCAGGCATGGACAAAGGCCGGGGCTTGCCTTCAGCGGGAAGAGAAGGAAAGTGACAAGGTTAGCAAGTTTGGGGACTTAGAGACTCTTTCTCTTTATTTATAACCTAGCTCCCACATGAACACAACCGACTTACGCAGAAACAATCACAAATTTTTTAATGAAGTATTTTAAAGCACCGCATTTCCACAGCAAGGGATTAGGACAGGCACGCTAAACTTGAATCTTTGAGTCTATAACTCCAAAGTTAAAACTCAGGCAGTGAAAGTTAAAACTGAAATGTGAGCTCACCCAGCTGGGCTCGGATGCCAGCAGAGTAATGACTCAACAAGGCTTCACTTTAGACAGACGAACAAAGGTCTCAAACTTAGAATTTCATTGAGGTTTATGCTTTGCTCAGATCGCCCTTAAACTCTGCCAAATTCATCCAACAGTTCCAAATAAGGAAGGGGGTGGGGAAGAGAAGTGAAGAGAAATGGCAGAGCAAAATAAACCCTTGGAAACTCACCATAAGATGGTGTTTTCTCTCTCATTTTTGTGGGCAGAATATTAGTTTCCACAGAGTACCCAGGCAACTGATCAGAATCAGCAATGGTAAATCTTCGTCTTCGGCTCTCCTGGTCCAAGAAGGAGTTCGGGGACTCTGAACCCTTAGGCACAGGCAATGGTTGTTTACCCTTAGGTCCTCCATAAACAAAACTCCCATTCTCATCCCTGGAAGATAAGGTGCAACAATTATGACGTTCACAGGTGTTTTCACCTACCAAGGACTTGTAGGAGTCCTCTACTGCCAGCACACATAACACACACAACACACTACACACATAACATAAAGAAGGCCTTTCCCACTGAAAGAAAACCATTACTTTATTCAACTCCCATTTCCCCTTCAAATACATGCAGACCCTATTAAGTAAAAATGAATACCATGATTCTATTAAATTAGAACAACTGCATGTTTTTTCATATATGTTAAATGATACAAATATACCTTTGAAAACACAGCCGTGTTCTCCCTGTGTTCTGCCCTATAATGTGATCTCTGATTTATCACAGGAATCACCAGTTAAAGTGTGAACTATTGAGCCATTTTTCTCATGCCAAGAATAGGATCTTTGCCAAGATCCTATTCTGGTCACTGCAGGCCAGCAATGCTCTTCCTCGGGACCCCAGAGTTCTTCACAGCACCACTGAGAGTCTACACACAGGAACACAAGCACACCAGGAAAATGGGACTGACGTACCGGGGAGAGTAGGGCACGGAGGGTGGAGGAGGTATGTACAGATCCAGGATGGCCGGCTTCTCCTTCTTCAGTGAGGTGTCCATCGTGCTTTCAGGAGACTGAGTCGTTGTGGGTGGGGGTGAGGTCTGCGACAAGAGCCACACATGGAGCAAAAGAGGAGAGGTCAGCTTGGTACCTTCCCCTCGCCCAAACCAAGACCAGCCCAGTGTGTAAGCAGCAGGTCATCCACATGTGCCCAGCAATGCTCAACCTCCATGCTTCTTCAAGACACTCGGAATTAGCTGAGGGCTTTCAGAAAACCAGTGCCGGGGTTACAGTTCCAGCTTTGAGAAAATCATTGTCACACCCTGCCTCAGTTTCCTTCTCTGTAAAACAGTGACACTGACAACACCGTTCACAGGGAGATACAGCACAGACTTTTCAAAGTTCATGAAAATCATGAGCAATGCTGGATTTACTAGGAGTGTGAGCTTGGAACTCTGTCTGGGTAGGATCCCGGCCAGCCTTCTGATTACCTATGTGTCCCTGAGCCAGTCACTCGACTTCTCTGTGCCCCATCTATGAAGTGGGGAGTAATGGGACTAAGAGTAGTACCCAACAGGGTAGCTGTGAAGATTAAGTGAGGTGATACATGTAAAGGGCCCAAGACACTGCTTGTCACATAGTAAGTACACAAACTCATACCCTATGCACAGCGTGTATACTCACACATACAAGTTAATTTATAAATTTTAGATCCATACAACTTAATTTTAATTATGTTCCTGGTCACGAAGGACTTATTGAGACCTTCAGTCTTATCTCTTCTACAGTCTAACAAAGACAATAATGACCAACTTTGTCTGGTTGGGAAAGGAGCAGAGCAGACATCCTACAGTCAAGGCAAGTGAAGGGTTATGAAGGCCAGCAGGAGTGTGCGAGACCCTGGCAGGCAGGAAAAGCCGAGGTTAAACCCTGTCTAGTCCAGGTTGTGATGGAAGTAATTGCTATAGTGCAACTGTGACTGTGTTTCAAGGATTAGAACGACGAAAGAGCCAGTGTGAACAGAGCTGGAAGTAGCCACCAGGAGATTCACAGCGGTGGCAATTTTCAGGACAGACACCCGGACACAGAAAGCTAAGGGCTCTGTCTTTAGTCTCCTATAGCATATACCTTTGGCAAGCAACACATACAGAATTGTTTAAATGCCTCAAAACATCAGTTTTGGTTCATATCTGAAAACACAGGACCAGAATCCAGACCCTCAAAACCTTGGAGAATTAAGCATGGTGGTACACACCTATAATCCAACTACTTGGGAGACTGAATGCAGAAGGATGAAGAGTTCAAGGTCAGCCTGAACTACATAGTGAGTTAAAAATAATCCTAGGGTACACAGAGAGACCCTATATCAAAAAAATGAAATAGGGCTGGTGAAGTGGCTGAAGTAGTAAAGCATCTACCTAGCAAGCATGAGGCCAAGTCCAAATACCAAAAAGGGAAGGAAAAGAGAGAGGGAGGGAAGGAAACGGAGAGAGAGAGGAAGAGGGAGACGGAGAGGGAGAGAGGAAGAAAGAAGAAAGAAGAAGGAGGAGGAGGAAAGGAGGGAAGGAAGGAAAGAGAGAGATAGAGAGACAGAGAAAAAGAGAGATAGAGAGAAAGAAAAGAAAAATCAATAAAATAAAAGCAAAGGAAATTGGAGCACTCCCACTGGATAGATTCTCCCTAAAAGCTCCACCATGGATGACTACTTCAGTACTGATAACCGTCATTTGCCAGGATTGTGACCTAAAAACAGAACGTGTGACAGGACAGTACTAAAGGTGTTGGAAAGAATTAAAGAGCTTGGTCCCCAGAGTGGTGGGCACCTAGGCATAAAGAACACTTAAGAATGACACAGAGAAATGCCAAGGTTGGGGCTGAGTAAGTCTACGGCCTTTGTCTACCAGCATTCTATAGTGACAATACCCTGGACACATGGCAAGAAGCTTCTTGAAGCTGGCTCGGCTGTATAGCAGCTTCCACATCAGGGAAACGGTGGCTATCAACCTGGGTCAAATGCAAAATTAGGTGTCTCAGTCTCTTTCCTTCATCTCCTCCCCAAACTGCACAGCTGGTGGAGGAAATAGAAGCACATTGTCTTCTAACCTGCACTGACATGTAACTTTCCCTTACGTTCTGACCATACCTAATGTTCCTTTGTGGCCTAAACTCAAGATGCCTGGCATCTCTCCCTTCCAAATGGCCCCTTCCTGACTTCCTAACCTTTGTCAATGTGCAGTTTCCCATTGCATTTGACAACTGCTTCTCCCTTGCCTCGCTGGCCTTCCTCTCTACTTACCCCAAATCCTTTTCTAATAGTAGCTGCTGACAATTAGGAGAGTGCGGTTTAGGGAGATTAAATACCCTGTCTAAGGCCCACACAGCTAGTGAGAGGCAGAGGTAGGATATGGATTCCGGGGTTCAGCTTCTGAACCACCCTCATAACCACTGTGCTTATGAGCCCCTGAGGTGCCTCCCAATGTCCTCTTTATTATTAGTCTTTCACCTGAATCACCCATCACCAGCCTTGTCCAGGACTGCATCACCCCATATCTGGCTTATATGACAGCCTCTACCTGGTATTTCTTGCATTTAGATGAGCTGAGCTGTGTCGTTTCAAGACCCCCAGTACCTCAGAATGTAACTGTATTTGGAGATTAGCTCTTTAAAGAAGTGACTAAGTTAAAACATTGTGGGGGGGCGCTCAATTCAATCTGACTGGTGTCCTTCTAAGGAGATAAGACACACACACACAGAAGGAAGACCATGTGAAGACAGAGGGAGAAGATGTCTGTTTTCAAACCTGAGGAAGGCCTCAGAAGAAACTAACCCTGTCAAAAGTTTGACCTTGGACTTCAACCATCCAGTCTGGGTGTTTTCCTATGGCAATCCTAGCATAGTAATACAGATAATAATGTAAAAAAGATGTCCACCTGCCACCTGTGAAATAAAGTCTACACTTTTTAACCTGGCACTACCTGCCACTGGGCTGTCTCAGTTGACCAGTCCATCTTCATCCACCATCCTCAGCACCATGAGGTTTGAGCTCATTCCTTGTAGAAGGGGCTCTGGGGCCTACTCTGAGTCCCTGTGGTAACTATGACAACTCCTGCCCCATGGCTGCTGAAAGCTCACAGCTGCCCCTTCTCCAGAGAATGGTCCTCTCCTAACCAGGGCCACTAAGGCTGCCTGTTACATGGGACCCTTCATCCAGTATAGCCAGCCAAGGCTGGCTTGCCCTGAGGTGGCACTGAGGAGGCATCCCTGAGACATCCCCTTCCTTATTCTGCCATCCTCCCTCCCTTACAAGTTTATGGGAAGCACACACCCTCAAAAATTATTTTCACAATGTCAACACTTCTAGGGAACCTAACTTGAGACACTGCCCTTCCCTGGTGGCAGTTATATCTATGCTGTATGGGCAAGGGTATCTGGACAGCATTCCTGTCCTCCACAATACACAGCTTTATCAGCTAGTGTGGATCCACCTTTGCTTCCAGGCTCCTAGTGCTCCACCTCATGGGGAAGAGGTGTCCCTATATGCACACAGCCCATACCCATCTCTCCTGCTGCAGAACCCATCATTTCCTGTGTACAGATTACCTGGAAGACCTAGCATTTGGTAGTTATTCCATCAGTTATTTATGATGAATTCAGAAACTCTAAGAAGGTAATTACTACCTCTGGAGAATTAAAAAAATTAATGTAATCATGTTCATGTTTTTATACTGAGCAATAAAACAAGCTGGGGAATGATCAATGCACTCAGTTATAGGCAATGGTTTTTTTGGATATGACCCTAAGTCACAAGCAACAAAAGCAAAAATAAACAAATGGGATTACATTAAACTATAACGCTTCTGCACAACATAAGCAATACACAGAGTGACAAGATAACCTATGCAATGAGAGAATATTTGCAAATCGCACATCTGTTAAGAATTTAATATCCAAAATATGTAAGGACATTAACTCAAGAGCAAGAAAAGTACCCCCATTTAAAAATAGGCAAAGAATCCAGACATTTCTCAAAAGACATATGAATGGTCAACAGGCACAGAAAAACACTGTTCAACATCACTAATCGTCAGGGAAAGGTGAATTAAAATCACAGTAAGATATCATCTCATGCTGTAGAACTGACTATTTCCAAGAAGATGAAAGATGACAAGTTGGTGAAGTAGCTGTGGAGAAAAGAGAACACATGTATTCTGTTGGGAATGTACATTAGTACAGTCATTATGGAAAACAGTACTGAGTGTCCTGAAAAATTAAAAGGGAATTATGATATGATCTAGCAATACCATATCTATCCAAAGGAAATGAAATTAGCATGGCAGAGGGACAGCTGTACAGGATCCTGTATGTGCTCACTGTAGCATTATTCACAATGGCCCAAATCAACTGAGATATCTTTCCATAGGAAACAGATAAAGAAACTGTAATATAAATCCACAATGGAATAGTAGGGAAGAAGGAAATACTATCATTTGTGACAACATGGATGAGCGTGGAGGACATTCAGTAAGTGAAATAAGCCAGAAAGACAAATACCACAGGATCTTACATATATGTAGAATTTTTTAAAAGTCAAACTCATAGAAGCAAAGTAGAAAGGTGGCTTCCAGAGACAAAGGGGGGTTATGAAGACTGGGGTATGGTAAAAGGACACAAACTTTCTGCTGGTCAGATAGATTAAGTTCAAGAGCTCCAGCATAACATAATGGAAATGTCTACACCTGTGTGCCAGTCCCGTGTGCATATTTAGGACCTGGAATGTGGTCAGTAGATGGAGGAAATGAACTTTTAATTACTGAAACAGTCACATATATCTACTAGCTTCCACACTGTTCTGTGTATACCTAGAGTTCCCTATATGATTACAGGAGAATATATGATTACAGGAGAATCATAAGCAAACCAATTCTTAACTCCAATCACCTTCAAATTTTAATCTCCTTTTTTTTTTGGTGGTAGGGGGGTGTGACAAAGCTGCCCTTTGACCTTGTTCATGCTCTGATGTTAGATGAAGGACCATGGTCACAGGTACCTGCACAAGGGGCGGCTTCCACCGTAGGTTCTTCAGAGGTGCAGGGGTGAAGTTGAAAGAGCCAGTGGGCCGTTTCTTCAACAGTAACACCACACCAGTGGGATTCTCTCTCAGCTTTCTCACCAGGTTTTTTAGTTGCCACCCCACCTTCAAAGGAACAAAACAAGGAGGATAGAATTGTTTATGAGCAATGAAAGAAATCAGAGTTGTAAGCAAATGGGCAGATGCAAAAATGTTCACCTTGACACTACTTAAAATACAACAAAAGTGGATAAAAACTGGAAAAAAATTAATTTGAATAAAAGCGCCTAGAATTAATTAAAAGTTCTAAAGGGGAAAACTAGATCTGAATAAACAAACTCACCACAGTTTGCCTATTAACTTGAATGACTTCATCACCAGCATGAATCTTCTGGGACCTGTCTGCCGGAGACTATCGGGAAACAAAGAAACCTGTCTTAAGTTTTAAAACCTTTTATTTCCTCTGTTTCTATTTCTTCTTTCTTTCTTCTGTAGACAAGTAGCAACAGAAAAAAAATTTTTCTCAGGAAAAAATAACACAGTGTACTTTAGTCTCCTAAGATTACACAGTTCATGGAACCTGACATACAAACACTGTGTTATCTATTTTATTATGATCAGTTGTAACTGATGATCTGCCCACAAGAACATCCGGGTTCATCTTACCTCTGGGGAAGGTCTGGATGCACTGTTGGAATGATTAGCTACTAAAACCCATTACTTCATTTTAAGAATGCTTTATAGATACCCCTATGAAAATTAACCTTGTCAGAGCAGACCAACAGTTTAACATGGGACAACCATCTTTGTAGCTCTTTCATTCCTTTTCCTTATTCAACTTAAATCTGATTTTTTTTCCTCTTCTTGTTTTACATGTTGTCACAATACTAATAAAATAGAAAGTTGGTGGTAATAAAAAAGTCATTTCTTTAAAGAAACTGAATTTAATTACTTTTCACTTTCTGGTTAAGTTCAAAATGAGTGGGTCTTCACAATCAAGGCAAAGTCTAGACTTTGTTTCTCTCGATGCATTGCTATGCATTGCAACAACAAAAATATATGTAAAGGGGTATAATTCATTTGTCAAGTAGGGTACACATAGCATTCTTATTCATATAAGCAACCTAGAACTCTTCATATTTAAGATATCTTGTATGATTTAAAAAAAAGAGAGAAAAAAGGATAAATCTTTGGTTTCTAATTAAACATTATCTAGGCCAGAGTATTTAATTTTGGAACTTATGTAACTGACTGAATCTTCAAACAATTTACAGCTATCCTAAAACAAACTAGCACCTTTGAACGTGGGGAGGGGGCAGCAACAAAACTCAAGACACACTTGGTGAATTTTCTCACTCAACAGCTGTGATAGGCTCAACAGGAAATTAGAGACAATGGGTAAGCTGCAGAAACACTCCCTTTGATTTATCTAGGCTCAACGCAAGGCACAGGAAACTGTGCCAGTTATTTTTGCAAACATTTCACCTGCTGCCATAAGAACCAGCAGTGCCTCACCTGAGACTAGCAACCTGCGTACCACAGGGAGATCCCCATCATGCATCCTTTCTTGAGTCACTACTTTTTAGTGGATTTAATGATGCTCCTTTTTATACCTGTGTGTCAGATGGTTAACCCATAGTTACAGACTTACTTCATTAAGTCTGATTCTCATTGGTACAATCTAGTTAATCTTCCTGGGCATAGGGTTCATTTAAAGCAAGCTTTACTTTATAGAAGATAGCCCTGGGGCCAGGAAGTTCCTGTTTATAGACATACAGTCTTAAAACACAAGCACTAATGTCCTGAATTGACTTCCTTTCTGAAGGATCCTCATGTATTCATTTCTCAAATGTCCTATCCAGTGATGAAGAGCTGTGTTTGGCAGAACACTGGTAAAGAGAGAGTTTGATACCAAAATTTTCCCTGGGGCAGTAACTCTTGCCTGTCTTCACCATGTGTCAGACTACTGAAAAATGATGCTTGTGGAAGGGTGGTGACCTGAAGAATAATGGTCCCATTCTTCTGAAGCTCATCTAATTCTCACCTAATCTCAGGGGTAGAAGATAGGAGTACAATAGGGGTACAACAGGGGCATCAAGACTCCTGTCAAGATTTCCAAGAACATCAAAAAGAAATGAGATAGAGAATCACCATGGAATGATCCTGACCTCAGGTAATGTCCCAAAACTGGACTGGCCACCTGAGAATGCCTGCTGACATTGCATCAGCCTGTTGTCCAAGATGGAAGAACATGGAGCCAATTCAGTTGAGAAAGCAATGGGTTATTTCTGTCCACTACAATTCACTCTCCTAGGCTTCCAATAAAACATTCTGACTCTGAAATTATAGTGACCTCAAGTGACAGTTGAAAGCTGACCCATAGTTGGCATTTTCTACTTCTATAGTATTTCATACATTAATCCAAAAGTAAAATTGCTTCAACAGCTAGAATCTGGAACAACCTAGGACTAGTTAAGTCAAACAACATAATCACCAAATTGCAACATTACAACACTAGAATTTGAAACATGTACCATCCTGAATCCATCCAAATCTGACTGAAACGGTACATGAGTATGTTCCCATCATGGGCAAACTGCAATATACCAATTCTCCACAAGAGTAAGGGGTGAATTATGAAAAATACTCTGCATTTTTTTTCTTTAGCACCATTGAGCTTCCTGTGCTGCTGTTCCCTATCAGGTGAGGTGCCATAAAAGTTCCCAGTGATTCTCAGTGTTTTCTCAACAGGGAATGCTCAGACACTACCATCTTCCACTCACTTGTCTATCAGAAACACACAATTGATTTACAATTCACTGGCTACTTTAAGGAATGTAATTTTCTTACTACAAAAATAAAGTGCTTATTACAAACACTTATCAAAGATCATGCAATTTTCTTTTATTAAAAGACCTAGCAGTTGAAGAACTTCTACCAAACAGCTACCAAAACTCCTACTTTTTAGGAGTTATTCCCTCCTTTCTTAGTTGATTAAATAGTAGATCATTCCTTAGATTCATGCTTCTTTTACACAGATCCACGGGAATTATTCAAGTGCTTTTACCTTCATATTAATGTCACTAAAAGCCAGCCATACTGCAGGTTTCAGGAAGAATGCATTCAACTAACTCTCTTTTTTACAACTCCAATAAGTTTGAGGGAATAAAGAACAACCTTACATACAGCAGAATTTCCAGAAGGAAATAAACAGTGTACAAAAGTCTCTCACAGTAGAAACAGACCTGCCTTTTCTATTCAAAGGACTGAGGTCAGAGATTAAATTTCAATATCGTGCCAAATATTATGAAGCAGAACTCCATAAAAAGAATATGTGTCATGCAAAAATCCCAAAATAGCTGAGTTGGAGACATAAAAATTCCAGGAAACCAAAAACAAATTATATTTTATACATATGGCCACCAATCCAGTTCTTGAAAGAGTGAGTCCCAACAACAAAGAGACGTTGTTTTTGTATTTATGGCTTAACACTTCCATGGTGCAAAAGAAATAATTAACACAATGGTGGGGTAAAAACTGGGTATAGTATTTAAACAAGAGCAATAAAAGACAATTTAAATAATAAACTGACAACAGCTGGGGAAAAGCAGTATGTACTCTATCAACAGAAATAAAACAGGCACCTATGCTAGCTCACCCTACAGATAATCACACACACATTTAAATGGAAAGTACAGAGCTCTGTGTCAAATTTGTTTAAGCACACATGGCTTTTACATTTAACAGTTACACTTACATTTTCTGTGGTTCCAGTAATCACATGCAGTCCATCGTAGGTTGACTTGATGTACATGCCCTAAAGTGAGTAACAGATAATATTAACTCATTACACCAACATCCAGAGAGAGACACAAGTGAGACTTGAACTAATGAAACTTTAAAGGCAGTCTCTTCAGAACAATGCCTCCTGAAACACCATGAAACGAAATCCAAAGGAGTACAGGAGAACTAAACAAAATGAAATACTAGGAAAAGAAATCAGACACGAGATCCTTTGATATTACAAGCTGTGTACCCAGCACACAAAATTTTGCCACAACACTTTAGGATGTAGGAATTTTCTCAGACCTGCTAAATAAGCAAATCATTTCAAACAAACACTGTTCTTTCCTGGCCATTGCTTTGTCCGGGGACACAATACAACCAGTTAAATATAGTACCAGCAGTAAATTCAGGGTAACTCCATAGTAACACAGAATGGGACGTATAAACGAGGATATTTAAATAATACAACACAGATAGCAAACTGGTAACAGGCACTGCTCCATTTTAAGGGCAGCAGGATGAACATGCTCCTTCCTAAGAGACCTGTAGGCAAACTCAGAGGTGAATATCATATCATAGGATAAATATTTTTGCAGGTGGACAATTGAAGCATAATTCAATTTTATTAAACTATTAGAAGATGGGGAGAGAAAGCAAAAAAGAAGACAAAGTAGCCGGGCACCCAGTGGCTCTCTCCTGTAATCCTAGCTACTCAGGAGGCAGAGATCAGGAGGATCTTGGAAAAAAACATCACAAGAAAAGGGCTGCTGGAGTGGCTCAAGTGGAAAAAGCACCTGCTTAGCACGTGCTAGGCCCTGAGTTCAAACCCCAATGCTACCCAAAAGTCAGGGCAAAAAGTAGTTGTTCACCCTGATATCTTTATTATAATAATGTAGAAATCATTTTGATCCTGAACTTGCCCTGCTCAGCAACCTACACCACTCTGTAAAGAGAATCTCATCCGATACTAAGGCCCTCGAAGTTCTCTCCATTCTGCTCAAATTCTGTTACTTTCATTTGCAGAGTCCATGCACTTCCCCACTACCTGACAGTGCTCCCCTTCTTGGATAACTTTATGACCTGAAACAGCAACTCCATCTCTGCCCACTCCAGGCATGTATCTGCTTCAATACATCACTATAAACTCACCTCCAGGAATTCCTCCCTGTTCAAACATGATCTGTGGGAACTCATCGTCTACCTTGAAGCCAAGCAGCATATTTTCTACCCAGTAAGAATTTGGGCTTGTTGATATTTGGTTTTTGATTTCCTATCTAAGTACAAAAACTGCCTTACTATTCCCCAGAGCTATAAACACATTGGGCTTCTCCTCCTCTTCCTCATAATCGTCATCACCATCACCATCACCATCACCACCACCAACAGCAACTAAGCCACTAATGAACGCACATGCTCTCTGCTCTCGATGTTGTGTTCGGGGTTCACCATCTAATTCAACCCTTTCGGCAGCCTTCTGAGGAAATGGACATGTCAACCCTATGTGACCCAAATTCTCTAAGCTAATCACTGCACCCTGAGGTGTCTTCACTTAAATTTCTGCAGATGAATCCCATGGGATGTATGCTGCACACTAGGAATCCTCAGGGCTGACACGTGACTTATGGACCAGTTCTGAAGTTGCTTGTTTGTCTGTTTTTGGAAATTGTTTCCTTCACATTCATCCAACACTCTAATAGAGACTTTCAGAACAGATGTTGTTTTTGTACCCAGACACCTCTCCTTCTATTGCTAAGCCCTAAAAATAAAACTGTCAAGGCCTAAGTATACAGTTTTTAAATTGTATTTATTTTTATCCTTTGACGATTAAAAAAGAAAATCAGCAGAGTTTAAGATAGCAAATTCCTAAACGTATAATGGATGGTAGTCTTAAGTAATTCTAGTACTCAGAATTATAGTCAAAACAGTAAGAATTTTTTTAAACTTTGGTTAAGTGCTGGTGTGCATTATGTGAAAATGGGATGAGTTGCACTGGCATTCTTACCAGGCCTTCCCCGGGTTTAACACTGGGTAAGTGAACTTCCTCTAGGCACGCACACTGGCTCATAACAGGATCCCTGGTGGAGCGGAATGTCTCATCACAGATACCATTCAAGACCTTGACCTAGAATTAGAGAATTGCAGAGGCACATGGAGAGTTTAATCATTAACCAAGCTTATCTCAGGCTGATTTTTAAAGAAATGAGCTTCACCCATAATCTTTAGCTCTGGTTAGCAATCATTCAGATAATTCCGCTCACTGAGCGCCTGGTGGTTTGGACTCGGTATTTGCCATCTGTGGACTACTGCCACTATTTCAACTTTGTTTAAGAAGGGTGGCCTTTCTAGTAACTCCTTTACGAGCACTGTGGAGCACAAACCAGGAAGAAATCTCCTTTCAGTAGTGAAGGACAGACATTGATTTCCAGTCACCTGAATGGACTGTTGGCGATCACTTGTACTTTCTGAAGACCAGCTAACAAGGTAAAAGCCTTTTTTTGGCTTGAACCAGCTTTTTTAAAACAGACTTTACTTTGTAAAGTGGTTGTAGGTTTACACAAAAGTGATCAAGTACATTGAGTTTCCATTCACTCCCTCTCACCACACCAGCTTCCTCTACTATCAACATCCTGCACTAATGAGGTGCATTAATTACAACCAATGAAGCAATATTGAGACACTGTTATTAACTAACGCCCATAACTCACATATGCATTCACTTTTTGCAGCACACCTTCAATGGCCTTCTACGAATACTCATGAATCCACCATGAAAGTATACAGAGGAATTTCACTGCCCTCCATATTCCTCTGCTTAACGTGAGGATCTCCTTCCCTCTTCCTCACATGAACCCTTGGCAACCACTGATCTTTCCATTGTCTCTAGGGCTCTGAAATTATACAGCATGTAGCCTTTTCATAGTACTTATTTCAATTAACAATACTCATTCAAATTTCCTCCATAACTTTCATGACTTGATAGCTCATTTCTTTTTATTGCTAAGTAATATTCTATTTTATGGATATATCATATTTGTTTATCATCCATTCATCTATAACAGGACAGCTGATTGCTTCCAGTTTGGGACAATTTTAAACAAAACTGCTATAAACACCGTGCAATTCAGTGCAGATTTTTGTTGACATAAGTTTTCAGCTCCTTTGGGTAAATACCTAAGAGCATAAGTGGTGAATCATCAGGTTAGAATATGCTTAGTTTTGTAAGAAATGGCCTAACTGTCCTCTAATCTTATTGCTTCATTTTGCATTCCCACCAGCAATGAGTGAGTGTGCCCTGTTCCAGTGCATCCTTGCCAGCATTTAGTGTCAGTATTTTGAATTTCAGCTACTCTAATAAGCAGGTGATAGTATGTCATTGTTTCAATTTGCATTTTCCAAATCACAAATGATGTAAAGACTTTTTATGTCTTATTTGGTGTACATGTGTCTTCTTTGGTGAGGCATCTGTTCAGATCTTTGTCCATTTTTCAAGTGGGTTGTTTTATTATTATTGGGTTTTAAAAGTTCTTTGTATATTTTGACTACAAATCCTTTACTTGATACGTGTTTTGAAAATATTTTCTCTCTGTGTCTTGTCATGTCATTCTCTTAATAGTGCTTTCACAAAGGAGACTTTTTAAGGTTAATGAAGTCTGTTTTATTGATTTTTCTTTTATGGATTGTGATTTTGACTTCCTATCTCATTTAGGACAATGATCTCTTTAGTGATCGCTCACATTTTCTGCATGCCAAGCTCTGAGAAAGTAAAACTCCAAAGAGACAAGGTGAGGATCCGTATTAGGAGGTCTCCAGGTAGAAGTCACATTGGTTACATGTAATATTTCCCCCAATCCGATTCATCTAAGCTTTCAAAACTGAACAATCAACAGCATCAGGAAATTCCAAAGAGTGCCCTTTCTTTCCAAGGGGGAGAATCCAAGTGGTGACACTTTTTACATTCCTCCAATTTGTTAGGCCTCTCTATTTATGGAAAATGTATTTATAGCAATTTCATTGCTAAATTCCTCAACATCAGTAGGAGGAAGGCCTTATCAAAAGAGTACAGGCTGGCCAATGTCAAAAGGAGGAAGTGATGAGGAACAGTTTCAAAATGGTTCCTAAACAGTCAAAGCACAACCTCCTCATCATAAAGTCTTTGCCAAGAATTTTTTTAAACAAAATATTTCCAAAGGGAAATACGCATATCAGTTTAATCCTGATTAGCAGGCTCAGTGAGCAATTTATGAAGAATTGTACTCTGATGAACGATTCAGAAGAAATAAACCAAAATAAAATAAAAACAGAGACCCCCCAATACAGCTAATTTAAGCACAGGGATTTTCATACTCATTGATCTCATTAAATAACGGTTACCCTTCCATCTAAATAAATAAACTTATCCCAAAAGCCAGTATTTCACAGTATATCCTGAGGTAATCAGTCACAGTATATTTAATTAATGTGATTCCTACTGCCTTCAGAAAAGGAATTTTACAGTAACTTTTAGAAAGTATACTTACTACAGTTAAAACCTTATCCTCCATTTCTGCTACGAGGCAATCCTAAAGAAAGGGAAGAAGAAAATGAAAACTTAGTATAACAGCAAAAACTAAAAAAAAAAAAAACTGTCATCTTAGCCTTCTAGATTTTTCCTAGCGCTCACAAGTCCCTGGCACATCCCCCTGCCCACCCTCACCCTAAGCAGTCCTTCCCAACTTGGATGAGAGAGAGGGAGCAGAGTGAGAATAGGGCTGACATTTGTCTTTTACTGAGACCCTGCTATAACTCATCAACAAAGGAACACAAGGGACTGATGATCTAATGATCTAATTTGAAACAAACCAAAAAAAAAAAAAGCAGTGAGCTGAAATCCACCTCCTGCCTGGACATCATAGGAGGCCTAAGTCAGCAGAAGTGCAAGGTGAAGGACCTGACAATGGCTCTCAAGGTGACAGGAGGCTCAGCCAGCAGGGGGCCAACAAATCAGTAGTCTTTAGCACTGTTCCTGTCTATAAGAATAGCTTTCAAATAAGGCCTTGAGTAAACTCAGCCACAAAAGTTTATTTTAAGCACCACTGAGATTAAATCAGATATTTCAGTCCTTGGTAGATTGAAAAAAAGTTTAACAAAACATTCATTAACACACTGCCAAAAAAGTGGTCTTGAGGTATGCTATTGATGACATTTAATAAAGAGCTGGAATGCAAAGCATTATTTACTCAGCTAAAGAACAAAAGAATTGGAATGCTGTGCAAACAGGCTTAGCTGATTATAGGAATCACCATTGTCCTGTCTAGAAGCCACCAAAGGGAAACTGCCGAAGTGAAACTTTCACGGGTAATCTTCTAGAACCATCTACATCAGGGATTTCGCACTATACCACAGGGTGCGTGCAAAATAAAACTGAGACAGCCCACACCATTAAGTACAATCCCAAACTGGGACAATCTTAAGGATAATGCTAATAATTTTAAGTACATGAAGAATATTAATCAACTCCGCTGAAATTGTCAACTAAGATTTCCACCTAAATCAAAATGTCATTTTTAGGTCCTTTTTTTCTATTATTGGTGGAAAAGATGCTTGACAATTTCTACCCTATGTGATTTAATAATCAGACTTTCATTGCTTCATGATGCTTTTTTATTTCTTCTACTAGATAAAAATGTACAAACAAAAACAACTATTTTACTGCTCTCAAAATTGTGCTGACTCTCAAGAAACAAGCAGCCCAAAAAGTAAAATAATCATTCATGCCTAGGATCATTCATTACAAATCACAAAAATTATGCATATAAATAATTTGGTCATCCTTAGACATTGACACCAGAGACAGAGAGTTCCTCTCAACGTACAAGGTCAAGGTCAAGGTCAAGGTGTGACCTTTTGGTTCCTGATCCTTGATTCTTTGCTGGAGTCAATCCCTTTCGTGGGGACTGAGCCAACAGACAGAAGTTTGCATCCCAAACTGCTCAGGTCAGCGTGTGAAAGGGCTCCTTCTTTACCTTCCATCCTGGTGAACGTGGGTTCCCACACCCATTCCTACCAAGAGGAAGCAGCTGCAGATGTGACATCACAGAGTTTGGCAAAAAGGCAAGGGAATGGAAAAAGAGGTATGGGAACAAGTCACCCTGTCATGAGTCAGACAGTGAGGCGGAGCTTCCTTTCAGTCCTCAGTCACCTGGATCAGCAGACACAGCCAGCCTGAGCAGCCAGCAGCACTGTCTCAGCTGGTCTTCACTGCCACGTGCCTCCACTCCTTATTCTACATCCTAAGGAACTGAACAGTTTTGGGCAATCTGTTTAGCTTCTCCGTGCCTCTGTTTCTGTCTCTGTAAAGCAGGATAATAGCAAATCCAACATGCTTGAAGAACTTTAAGAACAACTCAATGTGATCACGCACATCGAACATGAGTGCACACCAAAGTTGTGATTCCCACTCAAGCATGGTGTCTTACTCTTCTGCTTCCACAGTCATGCTTGCTTCCACCCAGTGTCCCTGGACTCAGGAACATCGCTCACTTCCCTACATCCTTCCAGATTGGAACTTGGCAATTGTCATTGACATTTCGTTCTCCCACCTTTACTATTTCAGTTTTGATGTCGTCACAATAGACTGGAAATAAAGACACAATCCCTTCCCACCTTGATCTCCTTCATCTCAAACTATCACCTCAAAACTGACTGGGAAGACCAACCCTTGTCCTTCCTTGGTGCAGAACTACAGCTGACACAGTCCCCTGTTACCTTTCAGGGGACTAAGGCAGCTATATTTATCCTTCAGATCAGAAGGCTCATAAATTATCATTGGAAGGAAGGACGCAAAGAATGTGACAGAAAGAGAGAAATGGCAGTATGAGGAAGAAAGGAAGGAGAAAAAAGACAAGCGAACATCTCTCTTCACAGACACAGACAGAAATAAAGGTGCCAGGAAAACACCTTACTTGTCACTGAAAAGATACGATTTTTATCCCTTCAATCCGCAGTTAAAAACAATGAATGGAAGACAGGTTTCTTCCCTGAATCAACAGATCTGTCAAATGTAACAGGGGTGCAGCCCTGGCTCAGGGAGTCTTGTGACTGCCATCACACCGCACATTGGAAACCACATTCAACCCATTCATCAAGCTGGTGATCTCTAGTTCATATGCACAAGTGTGTGTGAGTGTATGTGAGTGTATGTGTGACTGTACATGTGAGTGTGTGAGTATTGTGTGTATGTGTCTGAGTGTGTGTGTGTGTTAGTGTGCATGTGTGTTTGTGTGTTTTCAATGTGTGTGTGCAGGTGTGTGACTGTATTCACTAACTGCACATGTCAAAGCACCTATGTCCCTCAATGACTGTAAAAAAAGACAGCAAATGGGGGTCATCTTTTTCAATTTATGTTCAGAAAAATGATATCCCAAATATAGTTAAATAACATCAGTCTTCATTCTTTAAAATTGTTCAAATTTAAAATAAAAAAAAAAAGAATACCAGAAAGTAAGGCCAACACATTTACCTATTCCTCTCCTTAAACTATCATGTTTGGTTCCAGAGAACCAGAACAAAGCAAGATTTGTATACTTTCTACTATCGTTCACAATTTCTTATGTAGGCTCTGTGCTTTTAATATGTTACATCTCATATACTCTTTAAAACAGTATTTTGAGGCCTGTTTTCTTTTTAAAATATCTCGTATTTTGGCTAGGAGAATGGCTCAGTGGAAGAGCACGTGCCTACCATGCATAAGCTAGGTTCTATTCCCAGCACCACAAAAAAAAACAATGCACATTTCTTATCTCTGTCTAATTTTACATGAATGCGTAAACGTGGTCACGTGATTTTGAATGAATTTTTTGTGTTTGTTTTTCTTGGCTCCTACATCCTCTTGCTATCCCTCTCCCTGCAGAGTAAACCCAACTTTTCTTCTGAATTGCTGACTTCTTTCTTTACATGTAGGCCTGTGGGTGCAGGTATATTGCAGATGTATAACGGTATTTGCAATATGTATGCATTTATACACACATACGCATTTTAAATTTTTTGGTAATCATTTGTCTTCACATTTCAACTGGTTTTTTTTTTTTTTTTTTGCCTTTCAGAAACTTACAGAAATTCCACAAAATCATCTGGTGAAGTAAATGTTAGTATTTCCATTTCACAGGTAAGAAAATCAAGGTTGGTATATTTAAGTGATTTGGACCTATGACTGTCCCTCTGAATATGTTTTTAACCACTAAACTCCCTGGATGAACACCACAGGGAAAACAAAACAGAAACTGAACAGTCACACAAAAACAATACCTCTTGTAACCCTTGAGTTTGGATTAAATTTCTCCTGGTAAAAAGACAAGTTCTCATCACTTCTTTGTCAGGAGCACTATCTCACTGGCTGAAATACACATTTAAAAATCACCACTCGTCAATCCCGTGTCACATGCTGTAAGGCGCCAATGAACAGAGGCAAGTGGGTGACGATGGTTGATGGTCATGGGAACCCTTCTGATGTGACCAGATCAGGACTTACGCCTCCCATGGGGAGATTTTGTTTTGAAATCAACTCACAGAGAGTAACATCATTGTAAGAAAAGGTCCCTGGCAGGTGCTGCAATTCGCCCACCCACCCCGGAGAATACAGAATTTCCCTGGTCCGATCACTCAAGTGTGTACTGAGGCACATTGTAGCCAAGTGTCCAATTATGGTCCACTCTCCATCCTGTGTCCTCCTCTCCTTAGCACTTCTCTAATTCTGCAATACTTATATATATAATATATATATTGAATTGACATATATATATATAATATATATATGTCATTGTGTTTATCCATCTCTTCATTTTCTCTTTTCCCCAGAGACTCTAAGCTCCATGAGTCAAGGACTTTTTATCTGTTTATTCACTCTGGCACCCCAGTGCCTAGAACAGTGGCAGACACAGAGAAAGGGCTAAATAAATATTTACTGAAGGAGCCATCCAAATGCCTGCAAAGCCAACATCAACCTGCTTAGGCAGAGCAGACTCATCCTGTGAAAGCAAACACAACTATCTCTGCCCTGTGCTTTATCACTTTCTCTCTTCTCCCCACACTACACAGCAGGGACAGTCACGTAGTCAGGGCCCTTCACAATAAAACACAGGTGTCCACAGGAGCAAAACTTTCCCATTTGCTAATTACAATGTTTACACTGGGGAGACTGTGGCAGGAGGATCAGGAATTTGAGGCCAGCCTGGGAAATATTAGCCAGACCCTGTCCTAAAGCAAATCAATAACAACAAATGCTTAGTTCTTATACTTTTAATTGGTCACAGGAAACTCAATTCAAAATCAAAATAGGCCAGGTGTAGTGATCCATGCATATAATCCCAGCTACTCAGGAGGTGAAGGCAGGAGGATCCCAGGTTCAAGGCCAGCCTGGGCCAAAGTCAGCAAGATTCTTTCTCAAAAACAAGAGGGCTGGGTGCACAGTTCAAATGGTAGAGCACTTGACTAGCAAGCACACAGCCCTGGGTTCAATCCCCAGTACTAAATACACACACAGACAAAAAAAAAAAATTAGGAGGGAGAATGTTATGAGGAGAAGAAACAGGGAAGAAAAAGAACATTCAGAGTAAGTGTCAGGGACACGCCTTCTACCAGCAATGCCAAGCCTCAGACTGTGTGACTCATGTGTCACAGTTGGTGTCAGTCTCTTTCTGCCAAAACCACCATATGCATCATAAAGATGAGCAGAAACACAGAGCCAGTTAGGAGCGGAGAATTTTCCCAGATCACAGCCTCAAAAGCTCAAGAGTCAAGTTGAATGCCTTCTCAGAACTGAGTCTCAACTGCCACACAAAACCAAACTTCAAGATACAAACAGAAGCGCATGCCTTACAGAGGTGCATCTGGTCAAGAGTAGCGGAAGGATATTCTCCAGTTTTTACCAGATCAACAGTGGAAATAAATGTCAAGTCACAGAATTTTAGAACTAAGTTCTTTGCCTTTTATAGCTTCAATTCAATTAAAAAATAATTTTATATGTCTGCTATGTGCCAAGTAATATGACAAGCTAGTCTGACGTGCTCATAGTCTAATTTTTTTTTAATTAAGATCACAGAAGCTAGAAAATTACAGACTGACTAATAGGGAACTTCACAGGCTCTTGCTATAATACCCAGGTCTCACTGGTGAGCCATGAGTGAACTGACATATCACTTCCAAACCGGAACACAAGAACTGCCAAGGCTCTTTGTCTCTCTGTCTAGCAGAGCAGAGACCAGGAAACAAGCAACATCAGATTGTGGCAACTCTGTCAGCCTGTACCCCAAAATAAGGAGAATCAGCAGATCTCCCAGCTGGACCTGCAGTTTAGGGGTTATTTGTTACTGCCTAATAACCTAGCCTGTCCTGACTGGTAAATCCAATAACCAGAGATAGAATGAAAGGCCACCATTGGCAGATACAGAAAAGTGCTCAGAACAAAGATTATAGTGAAATTTAGTTTTTCCAGAATTTCTGCTTTAAAAAAAGACACACTCTAACATTTTAGAGGAAGTAAAGGATTATTAGCTTGACCATTTTAAAACAAAAGAAGGTAATCTCTGATTCAAAGGCCACTGGTCATTTGTCAAGGAAACCATCTGTATAAAGTTAAGGCCTTTTATGTCTCCCTGATCCTGATAAAAAAAAGGGGCGGGAGGAGAGTATCTTCATACCTGTATGGCCACCCTTTAAAGAAGAAAAAAAGGGAAAAGGGAGGAGAAAATTTTAGAAAATGGTGATGTACGACTGACCTTCTGGACTGTAGTGGTCAAGTCCAAGCACAGCTGGATGATTTTGTTCTTTGTTACTGAGAAGTCAGTGATCCCTGTAAACGGAGCCCTGGAAAGTAATACAGATTCCTTTTAATTAAAGTGGGGAGGGTGAGACAGGAACCCACGGGGATCCCACACTGTATGCTGGCAAGCATAGCTATACAATAGGCTAACTTAAATGATTTTCCAGACAAATGTCTCCTTGTAAATAATACATGCAATAAGAGTACAAGTAGAAAAGAAACAGAGAAGTTCTTGACAAAATTCCATCAAAAAATGAGCCAAGAGAGTTAGTACCCTGGCATAAGTGCACTAACAGCCCTCATACCAACCAAATACTCAAGCATCAATGTTTAACCTCAATAAAACACAACCTTTAGGCCAGGAGGGTGGCTCACACCTGTAATCTTAGCTACTCAAGAGGTGGAGAAAGTTCATGAGACCCCCCCATCTCAGCCGATAGCTAGGTGTGCGTCTGTCATCCCAACAATGCGGGAGGTGTATTATAGGAAGATCAGGGGGTCAGGCAGAAGCTAAAGACCCTATTTGGGAAAAGTAACTACAGCAAAAAGGGCTGGGGATGTGACTCAAGTGGTAGAGCACCTGCCTAGCAAGTGCAAGGCCCTAAGTTCAAACCCCAGTACCACTAAAAAAAAGAAAAAAAACGCAACCTTAGTACACAGTTCACTCCTCTCCTAGCTGGGGTTCATTTGTTCCTGTTGTTACTCTTTTAAGTAACTTCCAAAGGAAGCCTAAGTCTCCCACAGATCTAGGACTCCTGAGTTCCAGGGAAGACATGAAAGGGACAGTGGCTTATTTCCCTAAGACACTGGCTTCTGCACACCTCAGACCCTCACTTAGGACAGCAAAAGGCACACCCCCACTTACCGGTCCAGCCAGGCCAGCAAGGCCTTGGCCGCGCCTATGAGCTCCACCACCGAGGTCAGAAAGTCATTGGGAGGCTTGTGCGACGTGCTCCCATCATAAGCAGGACTCCTCCGCCGGCTGCTTATGTAATTCTGCAGGTTGTGGGAGGACGCCCGCAGCTTCAGAACCAAACTCTTCATGTTATCTGTTTCAAGGCCATAATTCTGTGGGAAATAAAGTCCAAGGGAAAACCATCCACAAGAACTCCAGACTCACTGAGTGACGGCAACAACTCTTACAATGACCACAAATGGGGGTTCCTGCCCTACTGACATGGGGGCTGGGTGATTCTCTGTGGGGTGGGGTGGGGTTCCTGTGTCCTGCAGGACCTACAGCAGCACCCCTGGCCTCTACCTACTGTATGCCAGGAGCTCTCTGTCCCCAGAAGTGACAACCACCAATGCTCCCCCAAAATGTCATTGCCACGTGTTCCCTAGGAGCAGAATGTGCTCTCAACTCATTCCCCAAGGGATCGTGCACTTCTGCCCCCATCTGGATCACCATGCCGGAGGGGAGCAGGTCTGCATCCTGTTCACTTCTGTTTCCAGCAGAGTGGATAACACCACAGGCGTCCAAAGAATTTCCATCAGAAGAGGCTGAGAAACACAGCACTAAGTGTCACTCACCTGACGTGGAAGTCCTGCTATGGAGCGTCTAATCTGTGTGTTTTTTAAGTAGCGCTCAGCTTACTTGAATCCTTTACAACCAAACTCCTGTAACAATACTGCCCCAGGAAAAGAAGCAATCCCAGGAAATAACACACAGACTCTGGTGCCAGGTATGAAGTCTCCTCTGCATATACACATCCTAAATCGATGACTGTTTTAACATAAGGGGGAAATATTTCTGGTGTATATGAAACTGTGTCAATAGCATCACAGAGCAAGAACCCGGTGCTGTTTAAAATCTGGGACCAATCTCTTGGAAATGTCTTCTGTGCCAGGATCTGGGCGAAGTGCTCGACATGTGTTCTCTCAGGGAACAGCCTGAGATGGCAGAAATGTTACCACAAGTTAACATCCCCTATCCAAAAAGCTTGGAACCAGTGCTTCCGATTTTGGATTTTTTTTTGGATCTTGGACTATTTGCATACACATGAAATATCTAGGGGATGGCATTCATAGCTAACCACAAAATTCTATTTCAAATATGTCTTTTACCTTAGCCTGAAGATCATTTTATTATATTATTAGAGTTGCCTGGGTCTTGCCTGTGACCTATCACATGACATAAGGTATAGAATTTATCACTTGTGATGTCACCTCAGCACTCAAAATGTTTCAGATTCTGGAACATTTTGGATTTTAAATTTTCCAATTAGGATGCTAGACCTATTTTATAGATAAAGAAACAGACACAGAAACAACAAATTCCCCAAAGTCACACAGCTGATCAGTGGTAGGGCTGGGATTCTATTCAAGACAATCTGCTTCCAGGACCAAGACTTTGCCAGTGTTCTGTGTGTTCCCCACTTCCACACACCCTACCCAAGTGATGAGACTAGGCACAGATAGACTTTAGATAAGAATAACAAGAACTGTCCAGGAGTGGTGAGGCACACCTGTAATCCCAGCACTGGGGAGGCTGTGGCAGGAAGATCTCAAGTACAAGGCCAGCCTGGGCCACATATCAAGACCCTGTCTCAAACAAGCCAAAAAAAAAGAAAAGAAGAAGAAGGAAAGCTGGTCAGCAGGATAGCTGCCACAATTCTACCCTGACACGCTCCATCCCCTCTAAAGTGCAGCTGGCTCCAGCCAGGACCAGAGAAATGCAGGCATGCTTCAAAAGCAAGACACATAAAGCATAAAAATATTCAGAGGTTCACAGGAGCTTTCTTTTTCCAGCAAGAACAATGATGTGAAGAGCAACGAAAGGCTTTGGTTTAATGAAAACAATTCTAACTTTAAATACATTTTGCTGGAAGTTTCAATTTGCATTACTTACTGCTAAAATAAAAAAAAGTAGTCTTAAATGTTTAGATAGAAGTCTTTACACATTTTTATTAGAGCATATTAATTGTACAGCGTGGGGAGGGATTCGTTGGGATATTTCTATACATGCATATAATATATTTTAATCATAATCATCCTCTCTATTACTATTTCTTTTCCTCCTCCTCTGGCCTGTTTTAAAATGTTTTGCATTTTTAAATGGGTTCCATTATGATCTTTTCACATACGCATAGAACGTTTGTATCCTACTCCTCCTCCCCACTCCCGGCCCGCTAGATAGAAATTTTGGAAAGAGTTAAGCACAAACTAACTGAGAATAATCTTTTTATAAACAGTTTTAAAAGAACTATAAATTTCAAAATACAAATGTGTTCTGCATTCACATCAATGTTCTAAATCTTACATTTGCTCGTTTTTCCCTCACTGTTATTTTCCTTCAATAGAGAAGGCATTTAAATCCAGAGAACAAAGGATGTGCAGTAGGGTAGGTAAGGACTCCCCGTGGCCCAGCCCATCTGGAAGGCTGTGACCATGATCAGAGGAAATGTCCTCTATTCAATCAGTCAGCTGGTCAGCGTGTATCAAGAGCATTGACTAAAAGCAGGAAGGTTGACATTCTGCAGCCAATGTCATCAAATTACTTGGAACTTTTATTCCTCCACACACTTGCTTCTTGAACCCAAAGAGGGTTTTTTGTCTTTTATTGTTTCAACTTCCATCTTCGACAAATCCACCACTTTTAAAATTAAAACAAAGAGGAGGTAGCTTCCTATACCTGCTTTTCTTCGTTTTCCACTTGATTACTCTGATTTTTTTTTCCAAAACAAATCATGGGACTGGAAAGATGGAGAGATGTGACTATAAGTGAGTATAATTTTAAAAAGAAGGAAGGATGGAGAAAATTCCTTCCCCTTTGATCCCATTCCACAACAAGGCGAGAACAAGAAACTAATTATATTAGCTTCAAAGGAACTCTGTGGTAGAAACAATCAGAAAAGAAATAGGACTTCTTGCCCCACAATGGAAGACAGAAAAGAAAAGAATTTCTCAGACTAGGCTTCATTATTTTCGTAAGTCTTTTCCCTGAAGTCTGTCTCCTTCAGAAATTGCTTTATTATAGGGCTTCAAGAAAAAAAAAAAAACTAGGCTGAGAGTGTAGCTCAGTGGTAGAGTAAGTGCTTAGCATGCAAGAGGCCCTGGTTTGATCCCTGGAGAAGGAGGAGGAGAAGAAACCAGACTGGACACAGTGGCACAGGCCTATAATCCCAGCTACTTGGGAGGTATAGATAGGAGGATCCTGGTTCAAGGCTAGCCTGAGACCCTACCTCAGGGAGCAAGCTGGGCAAGGTGGGTCACATCTATAACCCCAGCTATGCAGGAGGCAGAGATAGAGAGACGGTTCCAAGGCCAGCCCAGACAAAAGTGTGAGTCCCTATCAGAAAAACTCAAGCAAAAGAGGGTGGAAGCATGGCTCAAGTAGCAGAGCACTTGCCTAGCAAGCACAAGGCCCTGAGTTCAAACTCCAGTACCACCAAACAAAAAGAATATACTAATAAGTTAAATGAGTCTCTGGAAAATCTATACAGAAACTAAAACCCCCTGGGAGCTCATTTCATTAAGAACTGGGCATCAGCAAGCATTTCTTGACCTGGTTGAGGAACCACACACCAGCCAGCAGGGAAGGAAAGAGGTCAGCCTCTCACTCTTTCAGGGCCTTACAGTTTCAGATAAGGACAGACTACACAACTCCTCCTCTACGTTCTTTCTGCATTTTACTGGTTCATCCTGATCTAACGTCCACGATCAAGCAGTGTCACAGACACACAATCAGAGCTATCTTATTGATGTAGGTTGGTTGAGTGACAGTGTAAGAAACATACTTGCCTCATCCTAAAGACATCCGATAAGCTGCTAAGGAGGATAAAGTTAAACACATGCTGGCAAAGATTCATCTTCTGTGTAATATCTCCCCATTAAAAGAGAGGGAGCCGGGAGCCAGTGGTTCACGCCTGCAATCTTGGCTACATGGGGGCTAGAGAGGCTGCGATTGGGAAGATTGAGGTTCAAGACTATCCTGGACAAAAAGTTCATGAGACCCCATCATAACAGAAAAGGCTTAGCACAGTGGTACATAACTATCATCCCAGCAATGGTGGGAAGCTTAAAATAGGAGGATCATGGTCCAGGCAAAAAGTGAGATCCTAGCTGCAAATTAGTGAGAGCAAAAAGGCCTGGATATGTGGCTGAAGTGACAGAATACCTACTCAGCAAGCACAAAGTCCTAAGTTCAAAGTTCAAGCCCCAGTACTGAGTACTGACAGAGAAAGAGAGAGAGAGAGAGACAGAGAGAGACAGAGAGAGAGAGAGAGAGAGAATGAGAGATCTGCCTGCCATGGTGAAGGATGACCAGGGAACATTGCCAGGGGAGTAACAGTGCACACAGCCCACTCTGCCAGTAGATTTGGTCCAGGGTTTTACTTAACCACCAATTAGTGACATCATGCACTGACTCCAACTTTGTCTCTTCCCAGACGACTTCAATATTAAAAGCGCATCCGTTCTCGGCCTCAGTCTTCTGGAAAGTAGGGCTTCACTGACTTGGCAAAGAACCAAGGTCACCATTATCCTTACCGTCTGCCACGCCCTCTCAACCACTGCTGTCTAACAGAACCTTCTGCAGTGCTGGAAGCCTCTCCACTGTGCTCCAGTGCAGACACAGCACACATCAGCTGGAGCCAGTGCAACTGAGAGCTGACTTTTATTTCATTTGAAGTGATTCTCTTTGAAATGGTTACTTGTGCTAATAGCTATCCTACTAGGAAGAGCAGTTCCAGAGTCTGTGCCGGTTACCCTCTCCTCCAGAGAGAGGAGGAAAAACTGGGCTCAGACTCAGAGCTCAGTCCTGGGAGGAGGTCCTGGTTATACCTCATGACATAAGTCACTCTGCTAAGCCACTCCTGCCGGCAAGGTCAGTGTTCAGAGGAGGTGATTAATTGTCACTCCTGGTTCTGTAACTGTGCCCAGCTGTGGTTAAGCCACACTTCGCCAGTTTGGGAATATTGATCAGTGGTAGTTCCCTATCTGTTCTATCTGCCCCTCAATTTACTCTGAAACTTTCCATGGCCTTTGTTTTTTTCCTTACTTCTAATTCTGTTCACTTCCTGTCTCACATGAAATCAGCAACCACTAAACTAAGTTTACATAGAAAACCTTTTATAACACCAGGCCAACTATGGTTACACATTAACTGCCTGCAAGATGAAGAGTCAAAGCAAAAAAGCTATCACCAATTTATACATCCGAAGATCTGTATGGTATTGAACTAGAGGAATAGTAATAATTAGTACCTGCATTTCAAACAGAATATTTTTAAAGACATTCTAGAAAATTAGAGATATTTTAGTCAAACTCCATTAAACCCTCCCAGCCCAGTAAAGGCACATTCATTTGCAAACCCCCAGGGACCCCCGTGTAATGCACTTGGGGGGCATTCAGTTACACACAGCACGTCCAGAGTGAGTGTGAGGTCAAGGCCTGGTCTACAGAGGAAATTAGAAGGAAATTGTAGAAGATAAAACACAGCTTTAGGATCTGGCATTTGTCCAGCTTTGTTCCTTTTAGCCTAATATTTTAAGAGATAAGGAAAAGGAAAAGGCAAAGAGAATGTGCAGCGGCGACAGCTATGGCTGTCCTCGCACTTCACATGTACAGTGTGCCCCCAGCCCACTCTGTCTCCTGGCCTTTCACACTGTGGATTTCAACATAATTTACTTGTCCTCAAAGGTATTACTGAAAAGTGAAAGAGAGGGTTCAAATTCACAGACTATCTAGCCAAAAAGACAGCAAAGCCATGTTCCCAGAAAGGATAATAGAAGTAAACTCAACATTTTGCCTCCGAAAAGCAGACAGTTTTAATAATAAACAGGATGTCAGACGTAGCCTGGGCAATGCAAAACACACAGGAGTAACACGGCCACATCTAAGGTGAGCGTCACTGTACAGATGGGAAAAACAGATACCACGATTTCCCCGGAGGCCACAGAGCCAGGATTAGAATGCAAAAATCCTGCCTCCCAGGCCAGCGCTCAGACCACTTGGCCACAGCTTCTCCCTTGTGGCAGCTCATTTATCAACCACAAATAATTTCCCCATTACTTTCCTAAACAAGAGCGGGGCATCTCAGCACAGAAGACAGGGCTCTGTCCATTTTAAGAAGAAGAATACACACAATGCAGCAAGGGTTATATAATGGATGGAATGCAGACCAGCAATGGCAAAATTGTTGCAAGCGCCTCTGTTCCCACCGCCGTGGGTGACGTAATTGTATATACCCCTGGCTTGGACTCAGGGCATTACTAACCCAGCTCGAATGCTGGCAAGAGTGTCCAAATCCTGACAGTTAAGCAGACTATATCCTTACCATGGCACCATGACAGGCGCACATGAATCCCACCCCTGACGACCAGTTTGTAAACAAAATGCCCTTACAGGTGTTTTTAGCCCGCACCTACAGGAGCTTCTCATGTGGCCCCAGGTGTCATGCAAGTGCGAGACCCGGCAGGATTGAAGTCACTCACAACCAGAAGTCAATCATCTGCAATATGCAATGAAGTTCACATTTTTTTCCAGCTAGCTGCCATGTCTTAGGTTGATTATTTCAAGTATAAACATCAGTTATTGAAACAGCATGAATATCTATGAAACTCAGATGCTCTTTATAATAAGAAAAACAGACGTGAACATCTCATTTCAAGTTAGAAGATGACATGTTCATTCAGGACTGTCTCCATATTTTTATTCTTTATACAGAAGATTCAGACGACTCCTGTAACAGGCAACTATTTTCCGTAACAGGCAAGAGAGTGAACAGTTCTGGCTTTGGAGACCACAAGGGTCCCTGTTACAAGGAGTCACCTCTGTCCCTACAGCACAAAAATAGCCATAGATATATATATTACATCAATGAATGTGCATGCTGTATTCCAATAAAACTTTATTTACAAAAATAAACAGTGGGCTGGACTTAACTAGCAGGTAGTAATTTGCCAGCCCTTCCTCTAGAAAAATGACTCTTTTTCTTCCTTTCTTATATTCTCTTCAACTCATGCTTCACTTCTCTGGACCATTATGAAAATGAGGACATCTAAATTACAATGAGGACTTGAGCGATTATGGTCCTGAAGGAGGACATCACAATTACAGATCACCTTTTCCTGAACTAACCAGTGCACAGAGAAGGTCAACAGCCTCCAACACCAGCTCCTGGTGTCCGATTCGTGTGACTCCCAGCTCCTCAAGATCCTGATGAGAAATCCGCAGCAGCTGCTCCCCGTCTATCTTCTCCCTTTCAAACTTGTGGACATACGGCTGCAGGCAGTCATCCAACCCTACCAAAAAAATGAAAAGCCTATTATCACCATTTTGTTCCTTTTCTCCCCAAAGATGCCCACATTCACAGAAATTTCGGCAATCACCAAATACAATGCCACTATTTCACTATCTCTGCAATTTGTATTCCACCTGAAGAGCACCTTTGGTATGACAGCTTGTCATGTGCAGAGCAAACTTCTCGAATGAACTTAGTGAAATTTTATGATAGGTACCTTCCCAATCCCTATAAACTGAAGGGATAAACACTAATCCTCTGCTGATTTGAATGTTAGTTATCTGTACCAGACATATGTTATCTATTTGCTAAGCAATCCTTCCTCTGGGACAATGTCCCTCTCTCAATGGGTTTGCCACAGTAGTTGGCACATGGCCACAGGCTGGCCACAATACACCATACATCAGCCAAATATAGCTTCAGGAATGGCCATGTGACCCAAGCAGAGCCAATCAAAATCTTCTTTGATATTCGATATGTGGATAGAAGAAAATAAAGCCCTTTCTTCCTTTCCAACTGGAAGTCATAGGACTCAACCCTAGCAAAGCTAGCAGTCATTTCTCTGAGAATAAATCTCCTTGACACAGAGAGGAAAATGCTCTGACAACATCCTATAATGCCCCTAGATCTAACCCTTTTAAAGATACTTCTTACCCTACAATTTTCCACTTACACTGAAATAAGTCCCTTTTCTTCCTTAGGCTTGTTTGTGTTGAGTTGGGTCCTTTGCAACTGAAAAAGTTCTGATGAATACAGAATATAAAGGAGAAAGTACCAGAGAAAGACAAAGTCAAGTGGGTTAGCTATGGGGATTTTTCTAGGTCAATTGCTACTGCCAACAACCGTGTCATACTTTAATGCTCTTACATAATGACTAAAATGGATAAGCCAAATAAGAACGTGGGAATCTTTATTCCTATACAGAGAATTCTCTGTTCAACCTCTGAGAATGGTTTTAATGGAATGAAATCTTATCCTGAACCAACTGATGTATTCAAGCCTAATGATAATGGTCACTTTAAGTATTTTAAAAGACTAGACTTCTATCAATTCAATCCCAGCATGAACGATGAATATTGAATTTAACTGGAACAAAGTATGTGGAACACATACTGATGTCCCCCCACCTAACACCCATGTACACATACTCACATGCACACCCATGTACACATACACACACACACAGACATGTACACATACATGTTTGCATACACCTTTATTTCATTTAACCTTCTCAAAAACTGTCTCACCTGGGTGAGTACTTTTCTGGGTTGGAAAAAGTGAGCACAGGTCCAGCACTTACTTTGGGCAGTAGTAACATCCACAGATCTTAAAATCTGATGTGTAAAGCTAAACTACATCTCTGCTCCACAAACTTTCACCATTTGCCTCCTAAGAAGAAATAGGAAGAAGAGTGGTTTTCTGATAACCATTTGGAGCTATCAAATACAGAGAGGGAAGAAAAAAAAATAATCCTATTGCAGTCATCTGGAGTCAAGTCATCATTCCTGAACTGGGATCTGTCTAGCAAAGAGACACTGTTGCACAGCAAGTGAAGTTGGGGCCATTGACACAAACCCAGTCCCCTCTGCCAGCCTCAATCCACAGTGGCCTCTGTGACACAGGAGCCAAGTAAGCAGAGGTGACCAGGAGAGTCAGCAAGCATTGAAATTGATGCCCCACCTGGGGGGTAGAGACCAATGCAGCACCAGGCCATCAGGAGTCAGTCGTCTGCACAGGGAGCAGTATCTAACTGTAGCAGGCAACAGTGACAAGGAACAAGATAGGAGGGGAGCCTCCTAACTACCCTATCTTTGTTTTATAAAAGGAGAAATTAAGACTCCTAGACTGTGTGCAGCCCATACACAGTCATGTGGCTGGTGAGATGCCAAGGAAAGGATTTTTACAGTGTTTTTCTGCAGCTGGACACAGAAGAAAGAACCCAAACTCAAATCAAGTTCTGTTGGCTACAAGCCTCACTCTTTTGCATTCTACCAGGTAAACATGGAGTTATAAAAATTCTTCTCCAAGCATCTCTCTAAATAGGCAGTAAGGTCAAATTGTAAAACTTACTAAAATAGAGTCACAGAATCTTGGAGGTACTTAAAAGGTACTCTGGATCTCAGTGAGTCCCAGTGTTGGGAAAGTCAGAACAAGAGATGAATTGCTATGAAATTTACCCCAATCACTCAAGTCAGCTCCAAGCCAGACTGCATTCTCTTCTTTTTCAGGATGTTATCTTCTATAGCCTACTAAGAAGCTTTAAAAATGAATTTTGTTTTTGTTTAAATTGGTCATAAAAGTTTAGGGCAACTATGTTAGACATTTAATTCTTTTTATGACTGAATTTTGTCCTTCTAAAATTCTTATACTGACATCCAGTATAAAGGAACTCAGAATATATGTGTAGAGAGAGTCTTTCAAAAGTAATCAAGTTAAAATGACACCATTAGAGTGATCTCAATCCATGTGACTGGTGTCCTTGTGAGGCAAGACAGGGACTCTTAAAACAGATAGGACTTAATATTGTATTTCAGGTTGAACATTCTTCTCTTTCTCCAAGCCTTCTTTTCAACTGGAAATACGTACAGATGATTCACATCCTAGCTGAGAGGGCAACTCAAACCACCACACTGTGACCTGGGGACCACCCATACCCCTCCCCACTCTTCGATTACTGGTGGTCAAGAATCACCAGCTTTTTCCCCTCCCATTCGTTAGCACAAGTTTTAAAACCACCTGGAATCAGGAAGAGGGAGGGCCCCTTTATCTTCTCTCTGCTTCTACCTCGTACCTGGCCATCATGGCTGTTTGTAACTTTTTCCATAACCTTTCATAAACTCCATTATCTCCCTTACTACACCCACGCAGAGATAAACGAGCCTACAAGGAGACCTTAAGGCACCTACAACCAGTGAAGACCATGTAAAGTCACAGGGAAAAGATGGCCTTCTAGCTACAAGCCAAAGAGAGAGGCCTCTGAAGAAAATAATCCTGCTCACACCTTGATTTCAGCCTTCCAGCCTTCCAGAATCCTAAGAAACTAAATTTCTGTTGTTCAGCCACTAGTTCTATGGTACTTTGATATGGCAACCTTAGCAAATGAGTACAAACCTAGTTATATTTCATATTCATCCACATATGCTGAACTTTTACGTGAACAGATAGACCAGGCCCAAGGACAAGTGGAACTGGAGTGCATGCTTTGAGCTAACTTACCATTCCAAACACAGTTTCCATGTGCAGAATAAATTAGAGCGTTAAAATTATAGTGAGGAAACCATGCATGACTGTTTCAGGAAATCTCCCAAATGATAAGGAGAAATAAAGATGGGGCAGAGGTCCCCTTTAATAAAATACTGAGGACTGGTGGTGTGGTTCAAGTAGTAGAGAACCTATCTAGCACGTCTGAAGCCCTGAGTTCAAACCCCAGTACCACCAGAAAATAAATTAGATAAAATAAAATACTGAGAGAACAAGATTTCAGAAGTAGCACTGGAGCCCTCAGGAAATATTTGGGGCACAGAAACAGTCGAGATGGGGGTATAAAGAAGATTCTGGAATGCAGATTGAAATAATCAGAGACTGAGAACCAAGGGGTACAGAACAGACCAGAACTTTTAAGGATTCTGAGGACATACAAGCAATGTGAACACAAACTTTGAATTAAAAGTTCCCTAAGATGTAGAATTTTCAAGCAGAAATGCCATGTTGCAACCAACATAAAGACAGAATTGACCACAGCTTATTGGTGTTCCCCTTGGGCACACAGACAATGAGTATATGCTATTTTAAAAAGTATTGCCCCCAGGGCTTTATTACTCCAACACACTATGACCCATTGTTCAGTTATTCTACTGTTTAGAATACAATTAGACATTTATAAACAGCTCATTTAAAGATTATGCAGTCCCACAAAGGAGGGGGCCGTCCTCAATTTTAAGTAAACTGATCTAACAGTTTTAGAATCTGCAATAAACCACAGTCTTATTTGTCAGATGTACCTATTTACCAGTTTCTTGCTTCAGGAATTTATAGGAAGTCCAGCAGGAGCACTAGGACCTATAATTAAGCAAAGTTAAATTAAACACATTTCACTTACACGAATTAAGTTAATCACAGTGAACTATGAAGAGAAGGGGAAAAATCGCCCACAGTCAAAGAAGGGCCATGCTTCCCACCACTACTAAATCTGGGTGTAAGCAGTCCTAAACTTTCAAAGAAATCCCAAATGAAAGAAGGAAAGAAAACTACATTTCTCCCCTCAGATGTACAAGGATGATGGTTAAAAGCCTGACTTTTAAACCCAGCCTCCTTCTTACTGACTAGGTAAGAAGTTATTTGTTGCCTCATTTGTAAAAACATGAAATTGATACCACAAAATAGAACTGTAATGAAATTCAATGTCAGTGTTTATGAAGAGCTTAAAACACATAGCAAATATACTCTGTACATTTTGTTAACTAAAAGGAAAGTGACTTTTCCAGGTCTTCAGCTTTCTAAGTATTCAGAATAAAAGTTGCTAGAGAGACACAGAAACTCTTGAACGCTTAGCTGACCCCTTCTGGAACAGAGTTGATTAGACGAAAAAATAAAACTTTAACAGCTAATGTTATCACCTTCCCCAGAAGGTGTTCCCACATCTGGAAACCTGTGATCATCATTGGGCTCAAATAAAAATGTTTTGTGATTTGTATCAGCACATACACATCACGAAAGGAGAAACTTTATTTTTGCTTATTCCACTGTCACACAGAACAATCCACATTGTCACAAGCAACAGCATTCCACCACCTATTTTATGGCTGAATAATATTCCATCATGTAAATGTAATCACACTTTATTTATCCGTTAAAGATGTTTTAATCAGAAGATTTTCTGCTTGCTTTGTTTCAGAGATTTTTAAAAGAAATGTTTTGAATCAGAAATCACTTGAGCTAAGGCTTGTAGACTTCCATCTCCCTCAAGGACTTTTAAGGATCACAGGTACAGATGGCACAAAAGTTTGCTCCAACAGGATTCGAACAGACCGTGCTCCAGGAGAATCGTTTTCGATTCACACACAGTCAATTCATTCACTAAAACTTAGGGAGCAGCTCCCACTGCAGACACTGGAAGTCAGCACTGCAGGAAACCAGGGCTTAGGAGCAGGTCTGATTTGATGATCTGAACCAGAGGACAGGGAACCACCTTGGGGACACATTTGCACCTGATGACAATATTCTCAGAATGCCTAGTGCTTCTGAAAACATTTAACAATACCTTGTGCCACCAAAGCTCTTCCTTCCATCTTCCCAGTACGTTATAACTTCCCCCACAGGACACCTTGCTAAGAATGAAAGCCAGGCTGAAAACTGAACTCAATATGCTTTGGCTTCTGTGAGAGCATGCCATGATTAATGAAGAAAGGTGATTTCAGAGCATGCCAAAATTCAAAAGGCATTGCACTGGCAGGACCTCCAAGAACCTGCTCATGAGACACCCAACTGGATTGCTTTGGAATAACTTTCTTTAGTCACTCTGGTTTTGTTCATGTCTGTGGGACTCCATTTTAACTAACTGATAAAACTGATTGAGTTTGAGCAATAATACTAAGTTTGGAACATAGGAGTGGACTTTTAGCTACACAATTTGAAAGGCTGAATTCTTTTCCCCTAATAGACTAATCTTTTCCAGTGAGTCCAAAATTCAATTATCTCAGGGAAAGGGGGTGGTCTAAGCCAAAAAGGGCACATGCCCAGCCTCTGCCCCTGCTGAGGCCCAATGGGAGCATTGTTGCTCCCTCTGGAAAAGGGAGGACTCAGTTTCCTCAGGAACCTGAGTGCTATGGGAACAACCCCATCTTTTGTCTTCTGTCAGAATATTCCATGTCTGCTCTGAGGGGAGAAGGTGCCACACCACCACAACCTGCCTTCTCTGGCTCAGGAACCAACTTTACTCACAGATCCCAGGAGAATGAGGTGTAGCGTGACAAACTCACTTTTTCCTCTCTGTGCAGTTTGTAGTCACCACAGTGAGAAGAAAAGAACCAGTGAGACTGAGCAGGTTTTTCCTTCATCTCATCAACACCTCTGTACTCCACCAAAGAACCCCAAGCGAATAACTTCCTCAGTAGACAAATGCTGCCCAGTCTCAGCAGGACACAAGTACTGTGTGGAGCCTGCCTCTGCTGGTCACCTCCTCAGTCTCACAGTGACTAGGTCCAGCCATCACCCCTTTCCTCAGGTCCCATCTACCTACTATGCCCCCCACCCCAACACTTCCAGGAATTGGACCCCTTCCTGCTGCAAAATATGAACTCTTCTATACATACTTCAGTGGCATGTTAAGATCAGTTTCTCCTCCCGCTCCAAGGCCTTCATTTTATATTTTTACTTCGACTATGACCTAAATTTATCCTCACTGATTCTTCCATTTCAACCTTCCATCTCTTTTCTGCTTTTACAGCCTCACATCCAAAAAAAGAAAAAGAGAAAGCAAATGAAAACAGAGGAGAGAGAGAGGAGGGGAGGAGAGGAGGAGAAGAGAGAAGAGAGACTAAAAAGAATTCTCCCCTCATCACTAGAGGAATTGGTGAGAACCTATATCTGGACTCCATCTGTCTGTGTGCACACAAATTATCCACTTCTGGAAAAGCATGGTAAAAATGTGTAGACTGCAGATCTGTACAGTGATGGCTGTCAACTGCCCTCCAATCTGAAATTCAGTACATGCGTGCCTCAACTCTTCTTCTCTTTCTCATTAATCCTGCCTGCCTGTCTCCTATTTTCCTTAGTGTGCTCAATGATCCTGGGATTTACAAAGTTTTCTAGGTCACAGACATGAAACTATCTTCTCTTCTTCTACCCTCTTCATCCTCAAGAGTCAGTCTTCAATTGTCAGTCATGTCTGCTGAGCAGTCCTCCACTATTGCTATGGTTCAAATAGTGTCCCCAAAGGCCCAGGTGGTGAAGAATTGGTCACCAGTCTGCAGCACTACTGGGAGATGGTAGAACCTTTAGGAGGTAGGGCCTAGTGGGAGGCCATTAGGTCACTGGAGGCCTGCCCTTAAAGGGGATACTGGGACCCTGGCCCTTCCTCTTTCTCACTCCTTGCTTCCTGGCTGCCATAAAGTGAACAGCTTCCTCTACCACATGCTTACACCATAATGCATTGCCCAAAGTGTTGGGTCCACCAACCATGGACTAAAACCTCCCAAACTTTGAGTCAAAAAAAACAGTTTCTCTTTTTAAGCTGATTATCTCAGGTATTTTATTATAGTTACAGAAAGCTGGCTAACACAATCTTGTCCCCTCCTTCCTATCTACACTGTCACAGCTCAACCAACTCCTTGCCCAGGGTTTCTTCAATAATCTAGAAACTGCCATGCTCAGTCCCTTCTTCCTCTTGACTGCCCATTTTGATGAATTTCTCCAAAATCAGCAGAATTATCACTCACAGGTTGGCAAATGCAGCTCACAGGCCAGGTCCAGCTCATGCCTGTTTCTTTCAGTAAAGTTTTATTGGAACACCACCACAATCCTTCCATTGACACATTAGCTCTGGCAGCTTTTGTGTAACAATGGCAGCGTTAGGTAGTTGTGACACAGACTATATGGCCCACAAATCCTGAAATATTTACTGCCTGGCCCTTTACAAAGTATGTTTGCAGACTCTTCGTGTAGCTAATAGCAGTGACGAGTACAAAGTGATAATAAATCTGTCAGCCAGAAAAACAGACTAGACAAGTCTACTCTGAAATTAAGCGGACCTGATGTTTTCTTTCCTCTTCTTTTATATGTCTGAAAGAATCATTTTCTATAATTACACTGAATTTAAAAGCAAAGGAAATATTATCCCCTTGTCCCAATGAAAGATCTGACCATATTTGGGGGAATTCTTTACCACTTTTTATCCACTTGATCATTTTTCTTTTGGTCAGTTTTGTTGAAGTGTAATTTATACACAAGAAAATTCACCACTTTTCCATGCACAGTTCTGAGTTCTGACCAATGTTTACAGTTGTGTAACCATACTGCAATCATGATATAAGTATTTCTATCATCCCAGAAAAGTTCTCTCATACCCCTTTGCTTCTGCTCTTATCTGCTTTCTATTGATATAGACTTGATTTCTTTTCCTGGCTTCTAGGCACCTCACCTGTGGATTAGCAGGTTTCCATTAGAACCAACACCCTCACGTACTACTTACTAGTTAGTTGCAGTTCTGATTTTATTAGTCATCCTGTAAGATTTCTGGTTGAATTTAATTTGAAGAAAAAGTACCAGGACCAAACACCATGTATGTTGGATTGAAAACATCCTGGGTTTCTTGAAGGTCTAAGAGTCTATGATAGGAGAATTTTATAAATTACCTCTACTTATCAGAACAGAGAATGGTAAAGAAAATACAGTACACAGAAACCTAAGTTCCAAATATCCTCAGAGCTAAAAAAAAAAAAAAAAAAAAAAAATTGAGCAAATGAATGAACTTGGTCTTGAGAAAAACCACATAAAAGCTCTCTGTATAATAAAGTCAGGTTTTCTACCCTGCTCAGAGCAGACATGTAGTCTGGTGGTACAGTTGTTGCTCCCTGGAACCAGAGGCTGCATGAACCCCAAACACATGAGGAGGCTAGGAAGCCCAATTAAGAATCACCAAAACTCTTTCCCTTTGTTTATGTAATAGGCTACTGATTTGAAAAGGAAGGGACATACCACTGGCCATTCCTTATGGTACCAAGCCAAAAAAAAAAGTAATGCTGAAGATAAAAGTTTGGACCCATAGCCATTTGGGGAAGGCTGATTTGCCCATCACTGAAAAGCCACCAAATACGTATCAAAGAATCCACGGCTTGAATTTCTTGCAAGAAACAAAGATAGGCATAGCGGCGGAAGGACAGTGAGTGTTAAAAGTACTTTTATGTTCCCAAAGCAAACTCTACTCTCTTGCTAGTGAGCAATGTGCCTCTAAGATAACAGAAGATATAGCCAAGAAACAATCATCCTTTGGAGTTCACTATGTAAGGAAAAGACATGTCAAGTGCTAGCTTGG